GTTATCGATTTCTATATTTTTTCGTTAAGAGCAAAGCCGCACAATGGGCTGTTTGCACTGTGACCACTGCAGGGATCGAAACCCGATTCGTGCGTTTTAAGTCCTAGAGCTTGCCGCTAAACCACTATTGAGATTGAGAATTATTCTTTTTGTACTTTATGACTCCACCCCTATTTAAAGTACGTCATTTGGTTGTATTGAGGTTATTCCTTTGATTAAAATAAGTATTCAGTTGATTCATTACGTTATGGTTTTATTTATCAAATTTGTCCAGGTAAAAATTACGATAAGCATGTCATTTACTGCCTTGATGGTAAGAATGAAACAAACAACAACATACCAAATACTGATTTAGTGGTTAGAATTAAGATAAATATTCCAAATAATGACTTTGTGGTAAAAAGTAAGATAAGCATGCCGTTTATTGCTTTCATGGTAAGAATTTAACATGTAACAAACATACCAAATGCCAGAATAATGGTAAGAATTAAGATAAACATGCCGTTTACTGCCTTTATTGACTTAGCAGTAAAAATTCAGATAAGCAACAAACGTACTGTATACTAACTTTGAGGTAAAAATTCAGATAAGCAACAAACGTACTGTATACTAACTTTGAGGTAAAAATTCAGATAAGCAACAAACGTACTGTATACTAACTTTGAGGTAAAAATTCAGATAAGCAACATACTGATAAATGTTCTTCTATTCTTTGCTGACAACTTTCTTTAATTATTCAAAAATTATATCGATAGCTTTTGTACAGCACAATTAATGTTAAAGGTAACTGCAAGTTTTATATCGTTTCGAATTCCTTAAATTTATTGAGAAACCGGAACATCTCCCCCGAACTTGAATTATTCACTAACAAGAAGAAGAAAAGATCACCTCAACGTTCCACGACGTATATCTGATAAATGTAATGTGAGCAGACGTTAGAAATGTCGCTTTAACTGTGTTTTAAGTAAATTTTCCTGTCGCAAATGACGTATTTCTGATAAATGTAATGTGAGCAGACGTTAGAAATGTCGCTTAACTGTGTTTTAAGTAAATATTCCTGTCGCAAATGACGTATTTCTGATAAATGTAATTGCGACAGGAAAATTTACTTTAAACACAGTGAAAGCGACATTTCTAACGTCTGCTCACAAATGACGTATTTCTGATAAATGTAATGTGAGCAGACGTTAGAAATGTCGCTTTAACCGTGTTTAAAGTAAATATTCCTGTCGCAAATGTTTCTTATTAGAGAAAGGTTTAAGAAATCGTTAGGGTCTTCTTAAGTAACCGTAAATTCTAATTACTTAAAAAAAGATACTAATGAAACATACGCTGACACGAATCTCTTTTAACCTAAAAGGTTTTAACAGTACCGGCATCAGTCGCTTTAACTTGATGTAACACACTCGTTTTAAGAATCAATAATCAAACACATATCAGGTAAAGGCTATAGATTTACGAATTGTGTTCACTGATATTGATGAACTTAATCTGTACGACCTTTGAAAAAAAGCTTTTCAAACGACATCTTAGTAAATAATCATGACTTACACGTGGTGTACATTTTTTTTCTTTTTTTCAGTAGTATATAGCATTAGATAATAGGTGATGGAAATATTTTTTTCTTAAATTCATTCATTCAAAATGGAGACAGTTTTTTGCCAAAAATGAAATAAAATAATAGATTATTGTCAGACTGCTTTGGCTTAGTTGTGTGTTACACTTAATCGTTGTTAATTATTATTAAGTGTACATTTTATCTCGGATTTATAAGAGGTGATCCCAAGGAGTTGGGCGTTGATTATTTCTTAAATTTATTTTAGATCTCTTAAGGTCAAAATTTGACCCCAAAGAACCAAATGTTTCTTCTTTTTGTTCTTCTGATAGCCATTGTTACGAAGTCGTTATTTGAAGTCCTTTTTCCTCGGTCAATAACGCTTCTTAAGATAAGTGAAAAGTAAACCTTTAGTTAAGTAAACTTAGTCAACAGTGAAAAAAGGCGCGGTATTTAGAAGCTAGTGAGTGAATCCGTACAATATCGCAAAATATTCCCCGCAATTGAAGCTGTGGGTGTGTTATACGAGTGACAGTCAACACCTTAAGGAGGATAAAGGGTGGAAGGGTGCTGCTGACTGGGTGTCTTCTCTCTGGTTGTTAGTTAAAAATTAGAGACGGCGGCAAATAGCCATAGCAGCTTTGGCATAAAAACAAAATACAATTGCAGCGAAAAATTTCACGACATCTGATATTTGAAAGTTTTTATTAGTTACATAAACAACATTAATCAACGAATTTGATGTAAATTTCGATCATTTCAGTACTTAATTTTTCTAATAGAATGTATATCAAAAATGTGCTAAAACAATATCCTTTTTGAATATTTACTACATTCGTTTTAGGGTAAACTACATAAGGGTATAGGATTTGACATGAAAATGGACAGTGGATATTTGTGCAAATAAAAAGCAAACAAAATAAGATAATAATGTATTGTTTTGTTTTTAAACATTCTTTGTCTGTGACGTTTGAAGGTCATGTCATAAACGAAATTTACAGGTCTTAAACCTACTTTCAAAATGTTTTTTGTTGACAACATACACTCGCATAAATACTGGGTGAAACGACACTGATGCTTAACTGTCATTACAGAACTGATCGATCGAAATTTCAAAGTCCATTTGACAGTTACTATTATTTTCTGAAGAGTAAGTTTATATTGAAAAAAAGAGGGGTGAATGTTAAATTAGATTTAATTCATGTTGAAAAAATCAATTATTAAAGCAGTATTCTTTTAAGATAAAAGCTATTTGAGTAATTAAAACAAATTATAAACACCCACCTTCTTACTTTGTTGTAGCGATGTTAGTGAAAGGGTACGTCAGTCACAAATCCACGAGAGAGAACATACGGGGTGATTGGTCTCTGAACACGATAGAGAATTTAAACTTCGACCCATTTACTACTAAGTATGTTGACAGCGCGTCGTTTTTTCTTTTGCCAGGAAGTCGGAAAAATGGCTGGATAAAACAGAAAGAAAATGATAGCCATGTTCTAATAAATAATACATCCTTCACACATACGATTCTCCTACAGTGGCGTAAGAAAAGAGAGGGTAATTTCCCCAGCGCCCAAAAGTAAGATGGGTTCTAAAGACCCATAGGTCCGCTGGAAGTTATACGAACAATATAAAACACGGAGGATAGGATATGCCAATGATAGAAATTTACAATAACTCAGTTGGATTTTCACCTTAACTTTCAGTTTATATTTGTATATTGAGCAAGCTTTCAACTGCACTCTCAGCCATTTTCAGGTTAACTGATTCATAATTCAAACAAGGTTTTCAAACATACTGTAGCATTTTCGGATGGATGACTTTTTAAAAGGATTATAGTACAGCATTTGTCATTAAAATAGTACAAAATAATAATGTTTTCGACAGTATTGTTTATGTATAGAAAAAATCGATTTGGAAGAAACGAGTGGAAAACTTGCTCAATATTGAAGGTGAAAATAAAAAACCGACCGCAAACCCTAACTTTAATTTTGAAAAAGCATGTAAGAAAAATTTCAAGTAACAGTAACTGTAATCATTATTAGACTGAAATCGTCTTAAAATTCTCATAACATTCACCGTTTAAAATATATTTTCATGTTAGATGAGCAGATGATACTTTAGGAAGGGCCTGAGGATAGAGCAAATTAAATTTTTTTGGGAAGAAAGGTTATTAGACGGAGGGAAAAGTCCTGCCTCAGGGTCTTTCGTAATCTCGTTACGTCATTGTTCTGTTTTGTTTTGTTGTTGTTCTTTTGTCTATGGAAAATAAAGAATTAGGTCAAGCAGTAGCTATTCTAAGCATTTATATCAGATGAATATGAAAGATAAGGGTAGAACCGCATTTATAGCTAGGCTTAACGAACTGTTTTTATATTAACAAGTTGAAACGTTATCTGAAGGAATCGTGATTTATTTGAATAGAATATATATAGTTTGAAATTCTTAGCTGGATTTAAAAAAAATTGTTAAGTAATACGTCTTAACTTTCATGGTAAAAAAAGCAAATTGTGCTTTAATATATATTTATATTTATTTTGATTCATAATGTTTTTCATCAGGGCGAGAAATACAACATTATCTGTAATTTATATAAGGTATTGCTGAAAACCCGAAAATATTCCTTCCATTATTTCTTTATAAGAATTTTTTATTATTATTAGTGTTTAGTGATCTTCGGTGGCTCAGCGGTAA